CACACACACACACACACACACACACACACACACACACACACACAGGGTCTCTCTTCTTGGCCGACCTTAGTGCTCGTAAAGCCCAGAGACAGATACGCCTCCTTATATTTTCTTACTTCTACCCGTCTTTGTGCCGTTGTTGTGGTCGCGTCGCCTGCTCTGTAACATGAGCTGCTCTGGGGGGCGTGGTTGGAACACAGTGCATGTCACGTCGATTCCGCTTGAATCTTGATCTTTACAACTTGTTTGCAATTGTATTGGCATAGGGGTCAATTGCATATGGCAAGTTATGGTATATGCAATTTTTAAAAATAAGAGACTAATTTGCATTAGAATTGATCATTTGCACTCAACAAATCTTCCCTGGGTAAATGAATGTTGCACATTTTGCACAACCCATCAGAATACCTCAGAACTCCTACCCTATAATATATCCATCTATAACTGGACAGTAGGGGGCAACAGAGTCCAGTGCAGAGATATCGAAGCAATGTAACGCTCTTCCTGTCGTTGACTTGAAGAGACTGCTGCAGACTTCAGCTCTTCAAAGATGTAGTCAGTTGTCACAATAAGCCCTGAAGTCTAAACGTGTGAAGGCTCAGACTGATCTATAGCTGGAGGACGACTTCACATCTTTAGGCTTCTCCTGCTTCGAGGCGTCTCAGAAGGATGGTCCATAGATATTATGAAATGACTTGTTATAATCAGCTTGCAGATGTTTTATCGCTGTGGTTCATGTTATAAAGTTTCGATGTACTTCACATTTATAAAATGGTCACATCACCACCAATGTTATCAGCAGGTCTTCACCAGGAACATGTGAGCAGATGTTGAGTTTGATGTTTTGTTATGCAGATGTAACCATGAGTGAAACCAAACTTATATTATAGAAGTATTATATTGATAAAAAGCACAGAAATCATCCACAAAGTAAACACACACAAAGGATTTCAGATGAGCATAAAGATGCTCTGTGAAGCATTAATAATATTCTACCATTATGTAAATGGGAAGCAGCTGTTGACTGGGACAGTAAGGTAGGCTGGACCATGATGCCCACGTACCTGGCTGGGCTGGTAGTGTTGCAGCCAGCGCTCCAGGTGAGGAGCGTAGGCCCCCGGGTGAAGGCAGCGTCTCTGGAGGGCCAGCAGGTCCCTGGGGCCAGAGGGGCCTGCTGTCACCACAGCATGGAAAGTGTTGTTGAGCGCTGCAGGGTCCTGGTGGGCCCTCTGGTGCTGTAGTCATTAACACACACACACACACACACACACACACACACCAAGTTTACCAGTAAGAATCTTAAACACAGATTTAAACTGCTTTGATCACAGCTCTGTATGTGTGTACAGTGTTCAGGGTGTGTGATGAAGGGCTGGGCCATATATGGAGTATACGTTTATATACTAGGCATTACGGTACAAGCACGTCAGGACCGTCTTCAAAACAAAAGCAAAGTCTGTCAATAATAATAGAACTAAATTAATACATTTAAAATAATAAATCAAATGAATGATAATGTTTAATAATCCTATTCCAATTGTGTGAATAGTTAGTCAAACTACATACAAAAGAGCACATTTCCAAAGATTTCAAAATGACAGTGCACCGCCTCAGAGTGTCACTGAGAAACTTCCTGTCACTGAGACTTCAAAATAAAGAGCATGCAGAGCACCCCAGAGTGCCACTCAGAGAACATCAGGACATTCCGACGTGGACTTTCAAAATGAAGGCAACCTATACACGCTGTGTTCTCTCCAAATTCAGAAGACTTTACGCTAATGATCGAACACATCAACAGGTTCAATCTAACCGAGAAAATGTGAAGATGCATAGCATATAGAAACATGTGGAGAAATGAGGCCGAAGCCTAGTGTGACGGTCCTCACCTGGTACCAGGAGTAGGCCCTGTCAGACGGGTTGATGAGCACTGCCAGGACTTTGGCTCTGGGGAGCAGGGCAGCAGCTCTCTTCGGCACCGCCTCGGTGTCAAAGTAGTTGGCGCTCTTTTCAAACATGAAATCTGTGCTGACATTGGAAGGGAACGGGAAGAAGTCCATGTACCTGAGGACCATAAATCAAGTACGAGTTAGCTAGTGCATCATCCATGTTGTGTTACCGTTTGAGTATTCTCTCCGATGTCAGACTGAAAACATCTCCACAAACGCATCACAACTAACTTCAGACTAAACTAATGTTCGACTGAAGTATTGACACTTTCTGGTCAGTATGTAACAGACTCCTTTGGCAGCTTTACTAAACGCATCAGGCTCTGTGAGCGAACAGCAGCTTGACAGTGTTCCTTAAATTCAACTGAGTTTGAAGGATGCTCTGAAGGACTGTTCCACTGTCCAGGATCCTTTGGATTCTACTGAGGACCGAGTCCTTCGTTCAGAGGATGTTCAACGCTGCATGTGTGTATCCTCTGAGCTCCTAAAACACCCACAATCCTATGCGCATGATTTGGAGACGAGCTCAGTATGCTCGTAAACTTTCAGCCATTTCGCCTCAGCAGTCCGCCAGTTGGAGTTGAGACATTGCCAGTCCATCTTCACTCACATCATATCTACAAGGCCTCATCTAAAAGGTTGTCCTGACCTTTGTAGCGCACTGACAGACTAGTTTACGGAGTGAACGTGAACACAGTAGCAAAAGCACAAAGAGGCCAGCAACAGGTATGAAGTCAGAATGTTCTCAAATGTAACCGAGTAACTCATGGGTTTACTTTGACCAAACCAGGATTTTGTCCCCCATCTTTTACAGAGTAAGCATGTTGAAAGATCACTTCACTGCCAAAAGGGGGGAGGAGGAATGATGACCTCACACTACACCCCCGCCTGACCACTTCGCTCTGCTGCCTCGGGGCGATCGGTTGCCCCGTCGCTCAGAGGTCCCTACGGCCGATCGACCCGGTCACGGCTGTTTCCTGTCCTGGCCCCACAGTGGTGAAATGAACTCCCCACTGACGTCAGGACAGCGGAGCCATCTTTCATCAGGCTGAAAACTCACCTCTTCAAGAAGTACTACCCTGAGCCTTCCACTCTAGTTTGTTGCACTCATTGTATTCGTACTAGTTTGTTGCACTCATT